AGGGATTGTTATTGTATACATCCAGAAGACTTTTTGTAAAGAGTCAGTCAAGGAATCTCCTTGGAATTGCTGATTTTGAGATAAATATGGATTCAAAGCCTCTAGTTTTAACATTGAAACTTCAATGCTGTATCTCTGAGTATTATTATAGATGGTTATAGTCTTACTTTCACTCTTTTGATAACCATCTGTTGTGACTTCCCAAGGTGCTGAGCATCTATAAAATCCCACTAAAATCTGTAAATACTGAATGTGCTCAGTACCTTTACAAGTTAGGCCTTGAGTCCATAACAGGAGAGGAAAAATGAGGTGTTATGGATGAGTTTTCCAAACACTGTCAGAGTAAAATAGTAGCATTAGCACTACTTAATCACATTTGAGCCTAATCTTATTGTTGACTATGCTCAGCTGCCATTTATTTCAGTGGAAGGTTCTGGGCCAGTAGCACATAAGACGTTTATTGCAATTAGCAAAACAGTCTTTGGTCTCTTGGATGTGTACTCCACTAATTTAAATCCATGGCAGAAGGGAAGCATCTGCTATGCTAGATGTCCTGGCAGAAAAAGGTGCATTTTATAAAAAATGTAACTCTATCAGAGCTGTAGCTATTTCTAATACTGGGTAATACTGCATTTTAGGTACAGTGCTATGACTATGACAACGACGGATATCATGACCTCATAGGCACTTTTCAAACAACAATGTCAAAGCTGAAGGAGGCATCGCGGTCCTCACCAGTAAGTCCATAAGCTTAAGATTTTTGTATGTTTTCATTAAGATATTTTATGCTTTGGGAGCAAAGACAATAAAATTAATTTCTCATATTTACTTGAATCCAAGACAAGGTTTCGCCCCCCTTTAACATGGCAGGGTGGGGTGTGACTCATCTTAAAATCAAGTGCAAGGCAAGAGGCAGGTGTGGCTGCTGTGGCACTAGCCCCAACATGCAACAGCTGCCTGTACCACCTTCCCGCACCCTGTGCCACTGCTTCCATCCCACCCTTACCATAACCTGGATTATAATGGAACTTGTAGTTGAGGCTGAATTAGTATTTCTGTTATTAATCTATGCATAGGTAGACTTAATATCTTGGTTTCTTTTTAATGTCTAAAAACATAGCCAGTCAACTTAAATGAATTTCACTGATCCATAGTCATCAAAATGCAGAATCCAGTTTAAATGTCACTGTTTTTAAAAAAAAGACCAAAGCCTGTAGTCCTTGTGTCAGATTTTACTTAATCTTTCATTTCTGGCTTGAGAGGAGTGGTTTATTGAGTGAATCTAAATGAAGACTTGAAGATTTAACTTCTTATGTACAGAAATCCACTTGATATTTTATGCTGTTTGCATCCTTATTTCTTTTCTTTAAGGTTATCCCATGTATTGTGCTATGAACCTTTAGTAGTGCTGCAAAACCTTGTTACAAGACTGACTGCTTCCTTGTAAATTTGATTAAAGGCCACAGAACCTTTGCTTAGAATTTCTTTATGGTTTATGTTGCTGCAGTATTTTAGGATATCTTTCTTTTATGTAACCTTTTACCTTCCTGAGTATTGTATGCACTAATATTACATTTTTCTCTTATAATCACCACCTCCTTCCATGTTGTAGCTTTGTTTGCTTCTGAAGTCTTCCTAAGACTAAACAGAAAACGATCTAACACTTTTACTAGTGCTTTTAAATGATTTCAGTATGAGTTTACTCATGTATAAATCTGTTAGATATTTCTAAGGTTGCTTTTCGTCTTTTTAGGTTTTTTTCAGGAACGGTGCATTGTTTATACAGCTTTTTACACAGTCATGTTTCTTCCTGTTGTAATTAAGTTCTACAAATAGTAAAGACTAAAGATTCCACAGGAAGGTTTAAGTAGCTGCATTGAACAAGTATATGAAGATATTTGCGTTCCACTATACACTTCTTTAAGAACAAATTGTACCTTTTTACTGAACCAGTTACCATATTAGGACCAAAGCTGAAAAAAAGCTAAGCAGTATTCTATTTGTAAAATTTTGCACTTGTATCCTCACTCACCAGTGTATTCTGTCAGGCTATGTGAAATTCTGAGCTGCAAATAGTATTTCAGAAAAAATGTTCCTGATAATTCTAAGTCAGTATGTTTCACAGCCTCCCAAAGATGAAGTAGGCTCTAATTAAAATTAAAAAGAATCTGAAAGGTTGGAGATAATACATATGTATATCCCAAGAGCTTCAGACCTATCTTGCTGTTATACCACGCATACAAATTGTATGAACGACTGATACTGAACCAACTTGCCCCATACATGGATAAACACCTAATCCCTGAGCAGGGCAGCCTTCATCCTGGAAAATCAACAATAAGCCAGCTGCCCAATCTAACTCAACATATTGAGGATGGTTTTGAAAGAGGCCAAATCACTAGAGCTGCATTCATTGACCTGACAGCTGCCTGCAATGCAGTTAACCACTGACGACTCCTCCACGAGACCCTGGAAATAACAAAAAATCTACACCTTATAGAACTGATACAAACCCTACTCAAAAACAGACTTTTTTTTTTGTCAAACGGGATGGGAAGCTAAGCAGATGGAGGCGACAGATTAATGGCCTCCCGCAAGGAAGCATACTTGCACTGATGCTGTATAACATCTATTTGAATGACCAAACAATCAATTCGGCAACAAAAATTTTCATCTCTGCAGATGACTTGTGCATAACAGCCCAAAACACTAGCTTTGACTATGTTGAAAAATCCCTAAATGAGGCACTAATTGGCCTACCCTTATACTACATTGAAAACCAATTATGGCACTGCCCAGTGGGGTTGGGGCTCAGGATGGAGCCGGGGCTCATCTGGGGGGCATGGGGAGGGGAAGCGGCTCCTGCGACTGCGCACACACTGGAAGGGCATGGGGTGGGGGTGCGGGTGGCCCCAGATGTGGGCAGGGCAGACTGCAGATGCAGGTTGGGCCAGGGGCCATGCTGGGCTCTTCCAAGGAGGAGGAGGGGCCTCGGCCACGCTGCTCTTTGCTCAGGGCAAACGGTAGCAGTGCTGGGAGGGGGGCTATGGGAGGGTTT